AAACTTGGTGCACATGTGGGATGATCCAACATTTTACAGCTGTAGCATCTCACTCCTTTTCAACATGAAAGTGTCATGCTCCATGGGGCCTCCTGTTAGGAATACTGAAGTGTTTATAAAAATGCAGTAAGTCTGAGAATGGGATATACAAGTATTACTGGAACTGCAAACACAAGGCTGTGCTGGACCTCTCTGATCCCAACTGCTGCTGAATGATAAGTATAGGCAAGTGATCTATTTTCCTAAAGCTTTCCTGAAGACTGGGAGAGCAGGCTTTGGTCTCAATGTGGATGGGGCTGTGGAACCCCAGAAATAAATGGCTTCTCACCATGAGAAAACACAAGCAAATAGAAATATTGTAGTGACTACAGTGGGGTGCAGGGAGGAAAGAAGAAAACTCTGGTAGATAAAGAAACCTATATGGAAGTTTAGGTTGATAGGCATGGATATATTTTGATGTCAGAAAAAGAGAACCTTTAAGATATCACTGCGTGAACTCAGATGTGACAGTGGACTCTTGCTAGTGTCACAGGCAGGTTTTGAGTTGCATGTCCAGGTATCTGTGAGTATCTCTTTGGAAGAAAAATGTAAGGACATGGCTATAATTTGTAAGATATTTCTTCAGCCAATTTTAGTAGTTCAAATTAATTGTGTTTTAAATATCTAGGTCTTGGTTTTGGAAATATAAAATAACATCTTTGAGAGACCAAAACAAATATATATATCACTGTAATCACAGTTGTTTCTGCAAAGGGGGATAAATGTATGTGTGAGTTGTTCATAAGACAGCTAAATAAATATCTAGGTGCACAAACTAAATTAGGATGTTTTCCTATGTGACTGTCTTCGCAAAATTTGGGTCCAAGCAATAATTTTAAGGCTTCAAATTTAATACCTCATTGAGAGAAAAGATGTGGAGGGAGCACTTCTGCCAGTGCTGTGGTTTCAGTCCCATAATAAATTGGCATAGTGATTTACACAGAGAACAAAAGAAATAGTTTAGAAATTTCTTTCTAATGGAAGTTTAAGTTTTGAAGAACACAGAGACATCTGAAAGGTGAAATTCACAGATTTTTCATGCTTGCAGGTTTTTATAGCCTCTGGTAATGCATGTCCTTACTCTGACATCACATGTATGTGAAAAAATGGATGTAATATTTAAAGATGTCTTTTGACAAAGAAAGTATTTACATCTCCAGAGGTGAGATTTAGCTTTAAAGGATGATGAGCAGGTTCCAGATGTGTTTTTCAGTTGCTGGGCTTTCCTTTCCTTAAGTATTGACAGAGGAAAGGTTTTATCAAGGTCTTTGTGATGTGCTTGTTTATAATGAGTAGACATTAGTAGACCACATCTAAGGGCTTATCGCTTATTGCTGACTAAAGAGAGCATATGGCAGAGAAAAGAAATATATATTTGTCCAAGCAATGTGGCTTGTTAACACTCCCACACTCATAAACTGTGTTTACATGTACTTACAATATTTTGCAAATCCCTTTTCTAATCAGCTAAAAATAAAAGCCAAATAATGATTTTTTTTTCCAATATTGGAGTGTAAGGCAAAGTTGATTTAGAATTTTTTTAACAAAGCAATTAAACTGTATAGAAGATTTTCATAATATTTGTTTTGCTTCAGCATGCATATGTTATTTTCATTTCACAGTGTTAAAAAATTTATTCTTACAAAATGCTTTTTGGTTCATCCACCTGTCTATCCAAGTATAACTGTTATACAACTAGGTTATGCTACAAGCAAGAACAGAGGTCAGAATGACCTATGTCAAATCCCGGTCTAGATCAGATCACAAGGTTTATTTTGACCATAAGATTTTCCTCTGCTTCTATAGGATGAAATCAACATGCAAGTTACAACACCTGCCAATAAACAGTTTGTAAGCAAAAAAGTCTCTGAACTGTTAACCCAGTCCAGCTCCCATTAGAGTAAAAAAGCAGTCTTGCTACTAATTGCATTTAGGAGGCAGATGGAGAAATGCTGGGGAAATCTGTACAGCTCTTGACATACAAAGCTTCTGATGATGCCTGTGATCAGGTATACAGCATTCACCCACCTTTTTATAATGGATAGAAAATAGTATCACTGTCTTCTCTTGCTGTGACATCTAAATGTGCCAGTCTATTCATATAGCAGTATTAGAAAGAAAGAAGACAATTATAGTTTAAAGATGGATTTGGACTGTTGCATACTTTTCAGAAGAAAGCATTTATAAAGAAAACTGCACAGAAGAGCTGCATTTACTTTTGATTTTCAGAATATTCCGAGGAAATTTTTGTTAAATATTTACATCTGGATCCAAGTATTGTCCTTCATAAAACAGTTTATTCTTGCAATTTAGCTTCATTAAAGTCATAATACTGCTTTAGGGTATGATAGACTAGTGCTGTGGGATTGAATTATAAAGAGATTAATTTTAGCTACTGGAGATAATTGACCCTATAATTCCTATCACCCCTAATCCCAGTTCAAATGAACCAGTGTTAAAAGTGGCAATACTCACAGTGTAGACAAGGTCATGACAGCTAGAATTGTTTTTTACTACCAATTAGATTTCCCACTTGGTGCGTTTGACTAATGTTGTCATAGAAAGGGATTTCAGGCATGGAAATACAGTTTCTTTAGAGGCACACAGGCACTGGAACTGATGGGCAGTTTGCTGTACATTTCCCAGTGTACAGAATCAGAATGCAATTGAGGGCTGACCCCTAAAATTTTAATTCAGATGGGGATTTAGAACATGTTTTGATCCATGATAGACCTAGGAACAAGCTAAATAATTTGAATCTGGAAGTAAACTCCCTTAAAATTCAACAACGTTAATATAGGGTGGGTCTAGCAGGTTTGGAACTGTCTCTTGGTGCAATACTACATCTGAGGTGTATTTCAGATGAGAAATCAGAAAAAAAGTGAGGTACTGACTGAATAGAGAGTTGTTCAAAAACAAATCATGTTGTTATTTAGCTGCAAATGACATGGTGGTTTCAAAAAATACAAGGAAGAGATAAACGGATTTTAAGTATGATATATCTTAAAAATTCCCTCAAGTGATAGTGCCAACTTCAAACATATTAGCATGAGGACTCTTACGAAAAAACAACAGAACAACAATACTTTTGCATAGCACGTTCAGTATGAGATGATTTTTCACATTATTACTAGTTATCCATCAGCATTTTTCCAAGCATTTACAGATTTGATTTTTTGCAGTAAGCTGAAACTGCATGATAAAAAGAGACAGATAATGATAAAAAGCAGATGTGTATGCAAGCCTAGCTAGAAGGAGCAAAATATACTATTACTGCCCCTCTTGTGAAGTTAATCCTATTTCTTTTAGCTATTTCTTCATTAGTTAATGAGGTCTTCAGGAAAAAAAAAAAAAAAGAAAAAAGTGTGTTTGAAATGGTGGGTTTGCATCCTTGCCTTTAGGAACTTTTTCAAATATTCATAGAATAGTTTGCCCTTGGAAGGTGCATTAAGTGTGAGTTTAGGCAATAATTACTAAAGATGTGGGTGGTCAGAAACCTGCAAATGAAATGGACAAACACAGCAGCTAATCACTTTCCTCATTCAGATTCACTACACTGGCTGGAGTTGAAATGTAAAATAATGGAGAAAGGAGGTATTTTAATGATTAGGTTAAAAAAAAGAAACAAACTTCAAGGCTTAGATCACGGATCTGCTAGCATGAATTAGATTTGAATTTGGATGCACTTTGTGGTTTGCAGTCTTATTAATGAAAGATTTTCTTCTTTCACTTTCTATTAACAATCAATCTCAGATCAGAAGCAAAGTGTTTGGCTGCTGTCTTTGTGCGATGAGTGTCAGTGGACTTATAACTACATCCCATCTCTGTCACCTCCTCCAGTGCACCTGGTACCAACCAACATCTCTATTGACCTCTGGGTAGTGAGTCGGGGATCACAGTGAAAGGGGCCCCCATCCCCTGGAAGCTTTCTCTTCATGTTGATGTTGTAACACACTCAGGGTGAAACTCTGGTATAGCCCACAACGGCCAGTTCTTACAGCTCTTTTATCCATGAGTACAGGAACTGTGGTTTCCATTTTCAGTTTGATATCTGCCATCAGTGCTGTATTTATATTCTTTTATTGAAAAAAAACCAACCCCTTTCTTTATCCACAGAACTCATGAAGGAATAAAACTGGAAGTAGTGGATTGTTCTTTTCCCAGAGTTTCAACTTACTCCATTTCCGGCAGCATTCTTAGAATTTCAGTCTCCAGGGGTGCAATTGCATCTCCCAGGCATCTTCTGGTGTTATCTTGTGAATAGGGAAAGAAACCATCTGCCCCCAGAGATCCCCATACATACAGAGTGTACTAGGCAAAGGCATTACGTGTCTACGTAAAAAAAAAAAAAGCTTGTTTTCGATGCAAGAAGACCATCCTGCAGCTGAGCTCATTGATCACTTCTCGGCTGTTCCTTCTCAAATTGCCAACCACAAAGAAGAAGTAATTCAAGGCTGTGAGCAGTCTCTCCATGGTGTAGGTGACTAGCAATTCAATTAAATCCATTCTGGAAAAGTTTCAAAACTGCCGATCTCTTTGTCTCATGTACAATTTCCAAATGTTAAAAAATTAATATTTTATTAATTTCTACCTTCATTGTTTCAGTTTTATCTCCCTCTCTCTTTTCTTTTGTTGAATTTCTAGCTTGTTTTTTTCTTCTTTCTTTCTGTAACAACCACCACAACAAAAATCAATACCACAAGGAGTTCTGAGGTTTTTATTTGATGAATGTGAAGCTTTTGCCTGTTATGTTCTTGTCTTCTTTTTTACCATGAGGACATATAGGACATGTTGACAGCCAATATTAATACGCTTAACACTAATACTGGCAGTTACTTAGTACAATTTTTGGCTGTGTTCAGTGGTCAGTAGGGAATAGTAATGCTATCCTTTAAAAGAAACTGATGTCACAGTTGCATCCAGAATTCACTGGGGTTTCTTTTATTGTTTTTATTTTCCAGGTGATTCATATAACAGGCCGGTTACGTCTGAGAGTGTCACTGTCCCACGGACGGACAGTACCCAGCCAAATCATGGGACTTGTTGTCGTTGCTCATGCTTTGCCACCTCCTACAATTAATGAAGTCAGGATTGACTGCCACATGTTTGTCACTCGTGTGAATATGGACCTCAATATCATTTACTGTGAAAATAGGTACAGCTTTTAGCTCCTTTTTTCTTTGTTTTAGCTGTGTGTATTCTTTGTTCCATGGGCTTGGCAAAAAGTTTTGAAATTTATGACTCTTGCAATGCCATCCTGGTGTTGTATGAGAGCATTGAATTCACTCTCATCATCATCACCTTCATTTTCATTACATCTTTAGAGGATAAAGGTAAATTAAAAACTACAGGATATCTTGCTGGAATAGAGGAGGATAGACCAGGAAAGATTCCTCTAAGCTTTCCCTGCTTTTTACAATCTCCCACCATCCCTCTCAGAGGCAAGATTTGGGACTAGACAGACGTTGGTCTGACCTGTATGGCCGTCCTTATGCTCCCCCATCCTCCCCTCCACAAGTCTTTCTGTCTGAAGTTTTAAAGTTTTCCATTTTTGCATTGATTTGCAGATTACAGCACATCGTGCTTAGTGTTTAATGGAACAGAAGCACAGATGGCCTAGATAGTAGGCTAGAGAGGTGGGATCTGTTGCAGTAAGAGGTGGGAAAACCGTAGAATAAAATTGGTTAAGGGCACACTGAGAAAGACAGCAGTGAAATGGGAACAGGTGATGAGGAGCTGGTTGAGGGGGGCTGTGTTCAACGTGGTAGCAACAAGTGGACTAGGAAAGCGGAAGACAGGATTTAAATTCAGCTGTCTACTCCCTGGGGGGGTGGGTGCCGGTAGCATGGAGGGCTCCCCATGAGGGTCTGTTGGGGCAAGGCCTGGCAGTCAGGGCCTGTCCCAGCCCCCAGCCAGGAGCAGGGTAGCTGGGGGCACCAGGGCAGCCTCAGCCCTGGGCATCGGGCACCTGCCTGGGGACGGGCCGAGGCCAGGCCGGGTCGTGGGCTGGGCCTGGCTCAGCAGGGCCCATGGCTGGGCAGGGCCGGGCTGTGGGGAGCTGGAGGCTGGCCCTGCTGTGGCATTGCTGGGGCAGGGGCTGAGGGCCCCGGGGGGCAACGTGGGGTCCTGGGCCGTGGGCGGGGGGAGAGGAGCCTGAGCAGTTGAAATGGGATCCTGGGCTGTGGGCAGGGTGTGGGAAGGCCCACGGGGCTGGTCAAGACCATTAAGGCTTATTGGTGCCCTCAGTGCCCTGAAAAATAAAAACAAATTCTAGGGAACAGGTATTTAGAGCAGGGTGAAGATATCTGAGAAGGAAGATATAAGTAACAAAGAAGTTTGGGTCCATTGGTGGAAGTCTGAGGTATGGGGGGAAGGTTGGAAAGGAAGAAAGAAGGTAATGCAGCCAAAAGAAATTTTGTCAAGGGGACCTATCACCAAAAAGTGGAACAAAGAAGATGACTAATGCAAGCTTTTCATGTGACAGCAGCTGTGGCATATTATAAGTTAAGAGTGGAAGCTCACTGATATGAGCAATCATAATTGCTTAATCATAATGGAATACCTATGATCAGGATAGTGCATGAGTATAAACTTTTATCGAAAGGGATGTACTCAAATGTTTTGTTGAATCAGGGCCTTAAACAATTTAAAATAATCTTGGATTTCAGTTATGAGGTTATCTTTGCTGTTATGTTACTGAACTGCCACAGTAGTATTAAAAATAATATTGCTTGGCTATTAGAGAGAACACTTCATCTAAACTTCCAAAGCATTATCTAAAGAGAATATATTATTCTCATTTTTAAGCTTGGAAAAACTGCCCCGTAGAAAGTGGCTTGCACAAGGTCACAGAGAAAGCTGGTAACAGTATTAAAGTTTGGGCTGAGTTTTTGCCTGTGACTCTACCCAATGAGCATCTAGATTCTGTATAATCTGGCAGCTGGTGAAAGAGCTCTGGGGATTAACAGTATGATCTAGAAGAAACCTTTTGCCTTAGTCTTTGATTTGACTGTGACCTACCTAGGTAATAAGGGAAAGCTGCTACCACTGCAGAGCTCTTCAATGGCCTCGGTGAAATGAGTTGCTGGTATCTGTCCAGTTCCTAATGAACAGATTTCCTTTTAACAAAATCACCTGCACTTACTGTTACCTTCATTGGCAACCTCAATAAAAAAGCCAGGAATCAAATGGATGTGAAAAATGAACTATTCCGTCAGGTCAAGTATGATATGAATTTGTGGGCCGTGTTAGAAAGATTTATACTTCCTCTGCCATCAGTTTGGCATTTTTATGAGCCCTAAATTGTATATGTTTTTTTTTAATTAAACACTTTTCTCAAACTTTCCCTTTACATTCATGTAGCAATAAAACTTTCAAATGCCTGAGAAAGGCATCACTGAAAAAAATGTAAAATGCATTAGACGTGGAGCGCTGATTGGTAATAACATAGAAAGAGCTGATAACACATGGTAAACTATGGTAAGCCAGCTGACTTATGCAAGAAAGTGTTGCTCTTACTAATGTTTTTCATTCATTAAGGTAAAGGCAACATTATAAAGAAACTTCTCCTTGTTTGTGATGGACTTTATCTCATATGCTAGGGTAGAATGCATACGATGGTACTTGAGTTTATGTTGCAATAGTTCCATTTTAAGCCCCTGTGCCAGTGTTTAAAATAGTTTATAAAAAGAGTTTCAAATAGTAGAAACACTTCTGCTGGGGCTAGGAGGTGAACGTTAGCTCACTGAGGCAGTGGGATTTCCACTGATGGAAAGTGGAGTAAGGTTGACAGGACTTGGATTTCATAGCAGGTACAAAGCAGAATATAACTGTAAAAGCTGGAGGAATGGGAAGGACAGAAGAAGGGAAGAAATTAACTGAACAGCTGATTGAAGCTGTCAGATGAATTATCTGGGCATTTGCCAAGGCCATTCTCCAAGTCAGGGAAGTTGGGATCTCTCTTCTGGGACTACAGAAAAGGAGATATGTATCCCATCCTGAATATATGGGCTTGACTCCTGGCACTTGCGGGCAGCTGGGAAATTCTTTGTGGTGCCACAGTAAAGCAAGCACAACATTGATGAAAACAGAGAAAAATGGATCCATGCTGGGGAAGCTGTAAGCACTATTTATGGAGCAATGGGGAGTTGCTGGCAGCTGCAGGGAGTATGAAGCAGAAGCCATGCTACTTAACTGAAATGAATGCTCACAGTGGACCATTGGATCAGCAGGGGTGAGATCAATAGTACTCCTAGTTTTCCAAGTGGTTGCCTGCTTGCAACAGCAGGGAGCAGGAGTGACATTACTCAAGTCTTTGGGTGTATCTTGTTACGTTCCTCTGAATGAAGAGATCTGTATCAGAATCCTGGACTCAGTGCACAAACCAGTCAACAGTTAGCTTCCCTTCGAGACAAGATCCGTTAGCTAGTACACTGGCTATTTCTAGCAATTAATATTTTGAGAGTGTTAAATGGGGATGTATAATTTTGTTGCCTAAAATGTGGTATGTTAATCCATGTGTGTTTTCCAAATATGGGATTCATGTCATCTAAACTTCACCGTCTAGTCTAAAATAGTCTAGAATTTCTTTATTAGTCAGTGGAGTAAGAAAAGCATCTGCAGAGGACAAATCATCTTAGACAATGATAAATAACTAAAAGCAAAATAAAAAGACTGCTGCTAGAGTACAGCATCAGTCTGTATTTTCAGTGTCAACTGGTAGTGATTGGAGACCATCTGGAGAGAGCCTATAGCCCAGTTTAATGTGGAGTGCTATAGCCATATCTGCTAATATATGCCCAAAAGGAAATAACCCAGTGAATATGGCATCTTCCAAATGGAAGAAGTTTGGCCTGTTGGCCATGACAGTGGTTGCCAATAGTTCCTTCAGATATACAGAAACAGCCTTGTGTAGGGAGCCTCAAGCCTACAAATGTGTGCACAATTTGGTCCTAATGCAGCAAAGCACTGTACCATATACCTACCTTTGCATTTCAATCTTGTTAACAGTCCTGTAAAGCAGTGGAACCACTGATCTGCTGAAACATAAGTCTGTGCTTATGTTTTACAGGATCAGGTCTGTGTATTCAGCAGAACTGAGTTCCTACCCATCAACCTGTTTTATTTTGTCAAAGGACTTGGGAGCCACAAGATCTGTCTCCTAAGTATTGCTCTAAGATATACTGTAATATTTCTTGCTTTTCTTCATGCAAATTATTTATTTTCCATCTTTGGTACCTTTGATATAAGCATGAGTGTCCTATTTGACGTAATTTCTTTTGCTTCTGGTTTTGGTGTCATTGCTTGCCAGGGATCATCACTTACATCTGGATATTCTTTCTGTTTCTTCTTCCACTTTTTTCATTAAAAAAAATCCTACGTCCTTCATATGTCTGTTTGAAACAGCTTTTTCTTTATATTATAGAATCATAGAATCATTTAGGTTGGAAAAGACCTTTAAGATCATCAAGTCCAACTGTAAACCTAACCCTGCCAAGTCCACCACTAAACCAGGTCCCTAAGTGCCACATCTACGCATTTTTTAAATATCTCCAGGAATGGTGGCTCAACCTCTTCCCTGGGCAACCTGTTCCAGTGCTTGATAACCCTTTCAGTGAAGAAGTTTTACCTAATATCCAATCTAAACCTCCCCTGGCACAACCTTAAACTTAAGGGATTGTGAATCTGCTTCCACAATTGCCTTGCTGTGTTCATTTTTATCTGTGAAGACTTTACACAACCATGCTGCTGCAGAGAAACAAAATACAGCTGAGTCAGATTTACCAGAGGGGGAAGCAGAATGATCATCTTCCATGTTAGCCCTGTGAACTGTAACACTCGCAGCCTGGGTACATCACAGGGCCGTGGCCTGCCTCGAGATTGCCCCTTTCAACTAGGCTGGGCAGGGTGGGATTTCTTCTCCCGGCCCTTGAAGCAGAGCCACCTCCTAACAGAAAACACAGTTCTTGGGCCAGAGAAGAGACAGCAAATTGTGCCAGTGAGGAGAGTGTAGACATGGGAGGGGGAGAGGCTTGAGTTCTGCTTCCTGCTCCATGGACTGTTTATCCACTTAGTCTAGTATAAAAAGATAATATACAGTCCGGGGGACAGAAACCTTTAAATCTCAGACTCCCTTCCTTATGGTGAGGTTTCTTATCACTGGGCAGAGATCCCAAGTCCTTTGTTTCCTAACCCATAATTCACTGTGCAGCCAAGGTGGAGGAACTCAGCAGGAGGGATAGGAAGTCCCACTGCCACAGTTCCAGGCTTGTCTTTATCTTGGTGAATTGTTTCCTCTCTGAGAAGGTAGGAGAGGTGCTTTTCAACTGTGGTTTGTGATAAGCACTAGACGGGTATCCCCAGCCAGGTATCCCTCATTTGGTTAAGTACTATAACTACTAGGCAGTTGTTTGAAAGTGCACATCCTTCAACATGCTCTGTCATGAAAGTGGGAGAAGGCTGTTGTGTTTTGTGCTAAACTTAATTTGACAATTTTTACTGGCAAATTTGAGCCCACCTGCTTTACCTGTCATGTTTTTCGTGTTTCCTATTTTTCAATTGGGAGAAACCACCAGTGCTCCTGTGGTGCTGTCTAATGCTTCCATTCTCCTTCAGTCTTCCTGGTCTATGCATTCTCCCTGCCTCAGCCACCCAGACAAACACAGCTCTGCTAGTCAGTGCCTCAGTGGCTGTGTTCGCCCCCTCTGCCTGCTGGGAACCCCTCAGACGTATGCAGTTTGGTTTCTGGTTTAGCCTCCCCACTGGCCTCCCTCAGGATCACACTCCAGTTGTTTGAGCTATCTGGTTGTATCAAGACGTTTGGTGTTTCTTACAACTCCCTTAAAAGGATGGCAATTATATCTTACAATTGCAAAGTGGGCTTAACCCCAACCATTGCAGCCTATTTCAAGCCCTAAAATATTATTCTATTTCTAGAAAACAGACATAGTTTAAAATGCTTGTGTGAGCAAGGCATTTTCCAATTGTTTTGTTATTTTCAGTACTGCATTTAAAGACACTGACATCTTGACACTCCATGACAGAAGTTTACACATGCACACAGATATAAGCACGCAGACACAGACACACACACACACAAAGGTCTGCAGAATAGATTTTAAAGTTTCTATGTGCAATAAACAACAAAGTCCCAGTTGAAAGGGCCCAGAGTGAAAGCTGAGCTCCCAAATGAATTAGACTAAAAAAGATAACACCCTGAGGCATCTGTATGTCTCAGCATTTAAATTATATCCCTTGAAATATCAGTTTGGACTTGGTGCCAAGAAATGGTTGAAGAGCTTTTTCATGAATATACCCAATAGAAGACCAATCTGTTGAAATGAAATGTGTCTCTAATCATTTGGTATAAACATAACATGTTTTTACTTTATTATGTAACCTTGAATCATCTTGGTCTTTTAATGAGGATTTTGGATTGTTGCTAATGCTTTACAATTTCATGGAATTATATTGTCTTGGTATTATGCTACAGGGACAATATGCACTAGAACTTAACTTTCCACTTATTTAAATGGATAAAATGATTTCAAGGTTTCTTTAAAAAACATTTTCTTTCTTTTTTTTTTTTCTTTAAGGCTATGTCTTGTTTGTACAGCTATTCTGTTCAAATTACTATAGTGGTGAAAAAACTTTTTAGCAGATTTTACTTTCTGAGTCATTTGACAGTTCTTGTATTCTTTTCCTTCTTGAATTATCGGCTGTATTGTTTTTCCTTTTTAGGATTAGTGATTACATGGATCTGACCCCTGTAGATATCGTAGGAAAGAGATGTTACCACTTCATTCATGCTGAAGATGTGGAAGGCATCAGACATAGTCACTTAGACTGTAAGTGCTTCCATTTTTGTGAAAATATTCTGGTACAACACTTGATTGTTCCTGAACTATTATTTATATTCCATAACTGGGGTCTTCATCTTGCACCTGCTTTTTTTTCATAGGGTTTCATAGAGGGTGGCTCAAATATAACTTTTTGTATTATTTATTTTCAAGTCTTTTTGTAGACATATAAGATTGTTCACATATATGGAAATAAAAAATTATATTTGTATTACCAGAGTTTCCAGCAGCTGTTCATTTACACATGCTATGCATTATTTTACTCCTTCAAAGAGGCTTAGGTGAGAAACTCTCTCCCTAGCACAGAAAATGAACTCCTCTCTTTGTTTTTTATTTCCGAGTCATAACATGGAGGTCAAAAACGGCAGCATATTTGGGATTTCACCAGGTTTCTCAATACAGAACTGAGCTACAGCTCTACCAGTGTTTTAACCACCCTGTGTATTAACATCTAAATGGCCCCCCACTATCTAAGTCCCTGTTATTGCACACAGGTAGTATCTGATCAGGATAAGGAAAACAGAAGTATAAAAATGTTACGAGACACAAACCTTACCAGAGAGCATATGCATATGCCTGTGTATGGGGGAAGGGAGGTTCAGCTTGATTCCTTGTAATTAAACTCTTTGTATTCCTCTTAGTAAAAGCCATAGGGCCTAATTCTTTTCTTGTTGAGATCTGTTGACTTCAGTGATGGTGCTCCTGATTTACCCTGGTGCGAAAAGAGACTTAGGCCCATAATCTCTAATTTATCTCTGCCTGCAGTGAAGCCAGATAAGTCTTTGGAAGTTTCAGTGACTGACTGCGTTTATGATTGACGTGTGTTTTTCTTAATGTAAAAGACTATCTGCAAACTGCCTCTTAAATTCAGCATCCCAGATTTGAACAACTGTGCTCCCCCTGCACCATGTCCTGCTAGCATTTCCTAATAAAAGGGTAGCGACCCAAATACAGCCATGTTTAATTAGTTTTTACAAAACCATATGACTACAGTAGAAGGCAATATAAATCTTCAGTCTGAAAGTACCTTGCTTGATCAGCAAGGGGAGGTAGGAGGATAACTGCAACTGGAAAGCAGAACAGGGACAGCTTCTATGATAATATATGGCAGCCAACAACAGTATCAAGTTCTGTAAAGCTTTCAAATAGTCTCTGAAGTTTCTAGAAGGTAAAGTGCATTTGGCGTAAGAAGGTCAGGTTAGATAAATTTCTGTGGAAAAAAATAAAATCAACTGTCCAAAATTATAAACAAAGTAATTTTGCATCATTTACATTTTGAGCATTTAATATCCAGGAGAATATGTCAGTTGCTCAGAAATGAAGGAACAAATTCAGAAACTTACTTGGTGCTCTTGAAAATGGAAGTCAAAAATGACAAGTTGCACTTCCACTGCACTATCTGACCGAGGAAATAAAAGATATTTATGACTCAGACTTAACATACCACCTGGCAAAGATGAACATCCCATTTGAAAAAGACCTTAATCTTCTGAATGACCACTTCTCTCTGAAATAGAATATGCTTTATGAAACATTCATCTTCTGAAAACTTAGAGACCTATGCAGACAGTGTGAGTGCAGTGTGGTCCAGTGTATAAGCACTGGACTAGGACTCAGGAGACCCTGGAGACAGGAATGACTTCTAGAAAATCGCTTCACCTTACTGTGTTCCTGCTCTCACTGTACGTCCAGTTAAGCTAATTGGACTGCAAGCTTCATAAACTCAAACACTTTCTCCGATTATCAGCATCCAGTACAGTGGGGTTCCAAACTTGGCTGTGTGGCTATAGCATAATTATTCTTGCTAGGCTAATCTTTTTTTCAGTAGATGAGCCTGGTTACATCTTTTATGTATAGTTGTTCTCTTGGCTTATAGGAACAAGATGTTCACAGAATCATTCAGATTGGAAGGGACTCTGGGACATCATCTAGTCCCACCTCATGCTCAAAACAGGATCAACGCTGATTCAAAGCAAATTGTGTAGCACTTTGACTAGTTGATCTTGAAAACCTTCAAGGTCAGACTTTCTACAACTTCTCTCAGTGGCCTGTTCCAATTATCCTTAATAAGGGCTTAATTATCCTCACAGTGATTTTTTTTTTTCCTTCTATCCAGTTGGAATTTCCCTGGTTTGGTTGTGCACCTCATGGCTCCATCTTTGCAGTAACCTCATCACAGGTATGCTGTTAGGTCCCCCTGAAGCCACCTTTTCTTCAGGCTGAACAAGCCTGGTCCCAGAGCCTTTACTCACAGGGCAAGTACTCCAGCCCCTGACTGCCTTGACAGACCTCTGCTAAGCTCACTGAAGTTTATCAATATATGTCCTGTGCTGGGAGCCTAAAATTTTATTCCAGATGCAATCTAAAGAGTGATGAAGGGGAATAATGACTTTCTGTGATCTACTGGCTATACACTTCTTTGTGCAGCCCATAGAGCACACTGCTGATTCATGCTTAGCATACTGTCCACCAGAACTGCAGGTCCTTTTCCGCAAAGCAACAACCCAGCCAGTCAGTCCCCAGCCTGTACCATTGCAGGGAATCAGTCCATCCCAGGTACAGGACTTTGCATTTGTCTTTTCATGTTGTTCAAACTCATGCTCTGGATTAAAGATATTCAAGTTTAAATTAGACTTGGGAACAGCTCAGGAAGTATACCTGCCCATTATAAGTCCTGCAAAAGCTGAAGTGGTTCATATCTTTGCCCAGAGAGATGCTTGACTTTTCTAGCATTTGGAAAAAAACTTTGTAGAAAAAAACAAGAGAAAGAAATTGCAAAATCCCAAAATACTTTATACCAAATTGTCCATCCTAGAAAATCAAATTCAAACCAAACTAGAAAGAGAAAATCCTCCTGGTTTAGTTAAAATAAAATTAGAACTAAAATTGAGGAACTTGCAGACACTGGCTGTAGAAGGTAAAACCCAGCAGATCTGTAGTTCCCCAAAATAGACAATTCAGGAAATTTGCCAGTACAACATACAAAATAATTGCTTGAGAGTACAATGGGGGGAAAAAACCACAATATTATGCAATATTTTGAAGAGGAGCTGGAAGCTAAAGTAATGGTTAGAAAGCCCTATAGAAAAGTAGAAGCAGGACTTGAGAAAGCAGAAAACTGAAAAGGCTGTGTTTTATGGAGGACTGCAGAATGCAGCTAAAAATCTTGATTGATTTTTACAGGAGAGAAAATAATTTTAAAGATTAAAACAAGAAGAAACCCAAATTGCAGTAGTAGATCTAGGGGTAAAAAGAAACACAAATGAAACAGCTACTCTGCCTATTCACTGACAACATACCAGAAAAAAAATGGAAAAAATAAGACCAATACATCCTCTCTTCTCATCCAGGTTATTCAAAGACATCAAAGAGGAAAACAAGCAAAGAAGAGAATGTTGCACTAAATCACACAGAAAAAATCAAGAGGGCTGTTGATGGCTTCAGATCATAGCAGCCCATTAGAAACTGAAAAACAGGCCTTGTTAACACTATCTCAGATAAAAGACAAAAGCAGTTTCAGGAATGTGACCATAACAAGTATAATGGTGAAGGTCTGCAGGACTATAGCAGTGACAACAGTCTTTTGTAAGGGAACTGCTGCCCTAATGAAAGGTCAGTTACAGTCAATAGAACAGCTTTCATTGGCTTCAATGGACATGGGGATTATAACCTAAACCAGCAAATTTATATGGACTAAAATTCTGACCCCAGTGAAGTAAATAGAAAAAATTCCATTAGGTTCAGTGGAGTCAAGATTTCTACTTAGAGATTTATGTTACTTATAGCTTGATGCCCTAGTGGATTAATAAAACAACATTCATACGCTAACTCTACATATGCCTGCATTTATTCCAATTCAATAATACATGGTGGCAATCCCACAAGTTATTGAATTGTCAATTTTTTTCAAACAGAAATAAAAAGTTTAGGGATAGTGTTTCTATCTTGTTTCATTCAAGCTTTCAGTGATCATGCTTTTTCACAAATCTCCCAGACAACTCTTTGTTGTTACAATTCTACCTTGTTAATCTGTTTCCCGTTTTATAATGCTTCATGGTTTCAGAAGTTTGGGAAACTTCTCATTTGTTCATCTTCGCTGTGTTTGTTGAACAAATTGCTTGTAGAATACTGACACATATCACTTATCACAAATCAAGTTTCTCTCACAGAGATTATAGTTAAAATGTTCTCTAGTCTAACAGCCTGTACACCATCCAGCATCATGGCTCAGCTCTTGGCTCAGCTGACACACAGCAACTGGCTAAGCTGCAACAACTTGTGTTTGAATCTGAGCCCTCAAAAATTGCAGGTCTAGCTGTACCCTGGCTCAGATACAGTCCCTAATCCTAGCTATGTGTAACAGAGCTCTTCATTAGGATATGTGGCATGAAAGAGTTGAAGTTGAATGTTCTATGTTTCATAGTTATGCATCTAGAACTAACACCCTAGAAAGACCCCTCATGCCCCCGGTTCTACTTCACCACTTGTAAGAATGGGGAAGGTGAGCAGATCCTCTCTTTTTACTTGCCTCTGCATAGAAACATTGCAGGGCTGAACTGTATGTCAAGCATAGGGCAGTTCATACATTTGCACCAAGCCATGAGTCCCTGCATGGGTAGAACTGCCCTTGTTCCAATGACAAGAAAATTTCCCTGATCTTAAAGCTAGCAGGATACATTTTATGTCAAATCAATATCAGAAATCAAGCAGATTAATAAAATTACTGTTGTATCAGGTCTTAGCACTGTCTGTAGAGCCAGCAAGGGCAATTGACACTCACTGCTCTCTAGAGTACGATGCTGTGCATATGTGCTTCCATTTGGTTGACACTGTTATCATACATCCCTTTTTGATTTAAGAAATACATTTCTTGCTAAGATTGAATGGATATCATATGCTGTAGGAGTATACCTCTTCCATTTAATTGAAAAAATTAATGACCTTCATTGAAAATCAAGTACTTGATGTTACTCTTCAATGAAGGTCAT